TCTATAAAGTCGACGATATTTATATATATATTAAATAAAAATCGTGCACGTAGAATTGACACGTAAAACTATCTTGCTTCACTCATTGTGTTTCACTCATTGCGTTATTTTAAGTCCAGTATATTAATTGATATCGATCTTCAGAATTCGATGAAATGGCGACTGGGGGTCGTGTCTCGAGTACAAAGGGTTAAAAGGAAAGGCTGAAAATTGAAAGAAATTATTAGAATTAAAAGGAAGAGCAATTGCACTGTCTCTCCGTGTTCTCCGCGAAGAATTACCCCATCAAATGCCAACAGTTCCTCCGCTTGCCATCGCAAGCGACGTCGAAACATCGCTCTCGTTATCGCGGATGCTTTAACCTGATTCTTGGCAGCGAAAGCAATTAAAACGCGGGTCTCTAGCGTGCCGGTGTCAAAGGGCAACGACTAACGTGTCTCTAATGACGAAGATACCGCAATGATGCGCTATACGATCGTCATATGTAGGCTGGATCCATATTTCATACGCGACATCGCGGGGTGACGTCTTTAAACGACGCGATTACTATCGTTGTCTACGTTTACCTGCTGTAGATCGATACCACTGTGCTCTAACGCTTTTGCTTCGAGCATCAATTCGGCCCCGTTTCAGCAAAACCGAGTGTCCTCGATTGTTTCTGAAAAGCTAAAGCTGCTTTTGCAACCCCCACCCCCTGCGCGCCAATCGTTTTCGATACAAATTACCACCCCCTCGGGGCTTGTTGGGTTTTCCGTCGACCCATCGAGGTTTTGCAGATGGAATTTCGTAGAGAAATAACCGAGCGAAAATTGATGGAATGGAACGGGACAGGGGGATAACGGATTCGTTGATTGTTTTCATCTTGATAGCTGAGTGCAGTTTGGTTTAGGTGCTTCTTAACACGTCGATGTTCAGATTAATTGTTTTAATTCATGTATTAATTTAATGAATTATTGAAAGCCACGAATCAGGAATTTCCAATTTATTTCAGTTGCAGAATAAGTGATGTAAATAAATATTATTCAGGGAGAATTTGTATATTTAAAAGTCTGGAAATTAGTGTTCGAAGTTGCTGAATTTTTCCGTATTCCACTAGGATTCGTTTCTTTGCACAAGCTACAAAAATCGTCTCGTTTAGAGAAAAGAAGTTCTTTCTTCTCATGAAAACAGGTCTCACTAAAGTCTTACACTTCAACTACCTCGATCCGCGCGCGTATCGTCACAAAAGAGGAACAAGTTCAGTGAAACTTTCATCTCACAAAGAACCTCTTTTCCTACATTTTCAGTGAAAATCTCACGGCTCCCATCGATCATTCCGAACATCCAGCGCGACCTCGATTACCAATGGCAATAAAACGTCCACTTGTAACACTTCAAAACGGGCACCGTCGACCGCCATAAATCTCGACGAATACCGTCAAACCTCGTCCGATGCGATATTTCAATAAAACAGAGCCGATTCGCCGGCTCGTTGGTGTCGTGTCGCGAATGTCTGTATCAGTCGACAAATTCCGACGATTTATTCACCCTGTGGTACCGATAGGTCATAGGTGGCCGCAGCAGTTTGGAAACTGGTTAATTAATTTTATTTTCTATTCCACGCGTTAAGCGACCGAAGCCATTAATGATCTTCGTGGTTTGAACTATGGAATACGAATTAAAATTAAGTACCATAAATTTGAGTGAAACAATGCGAACTATTATGGTTAACTACGGCACTATGATACTAGTTAAAGGTTAGGCGATAACACTGATCAGAATGAATTTTAATCTGTAATATTCATTGGGTAATTCTCGAAGAGTTTACTTCCTCGAATACGTATCCCTAATCGAAATTATTCAACCACTCTTAGTTTCTGAAAATTGTGTTTTTCTACAAACGCATGATTTTTGACCAAAATAAAGTATTATATAAAAAGTGTGAACGTTAGAAGGTTCATTATTATCTGAAAAGTCGGTTAGAGTATTCTGAGATTATCCTAATCTATAATTAACTACAACTAATTAATGACTAAGTTATAATTAACTTATATTTAGCTTATAACTATCTTATAACTAATATTTCAACTCTGGTACGTAGCTCTTAGCTTGGTATCGTTTCCAAAAGTTGTTCTTTGGCAAACGATACCAATTACCAGGTCTCACCACGTGGAGGTGGCTACGTATCGAGACCCGGACATGCGCCCTAGTGGCGCAGCCTACTGGCGCTATCTGTATCAAAGGTATCCTAATCTAACTTGGAGCGAAAGAAATTAAAGTGAATCTACTGACACTTTATTATATTTCGTGTCTTACAAAGGGAATTCGCGATTATTCGAAAGACCGACTAGCCTAGGCGATGTACTCCCGTGTACAGAGATAACTTCATACCTCGGCACCCTCCCGATCGGGCCTAGCTCAATTCCAGTCACTGTCGCACTCGCCAAGACTTACACGTGGACCAAGGATAGTCCCTGAATCAGTGAAACTTCTAGTGTCAACTGGAGGGCCCAGCTGGGCGGTTGCCGGCCAAGACAGACACTTCGCATCCCAGCCACACGGGGTAGAACTTAATCATCCCTGTGGTCTAACCGTAGATGGTACTAGTCCGTCAGCCAGCATGTGCCCGAGCCCCAGTCGCGTACGACTTAGGCAGCGGACCGCCCAGTCGAGGTCAGAAGACGCACTGATCCGAGGGGGTCACCCTGGAACCCGATGCATGACGAGATTGACAGTGACTGGAAATGAGTGTCGGAGACGAGTCGTGAGGATGACTTACGTGGCACGGAGTTGTCGTGTACACGGAAAGTACGTAGCGTAGGCTAGTCGGTACTTAAGAACTATCGCGACTATCGCGAGAACAAAAATGTTCTATTTGGTAAACGAGGGGGATGAGAGATATGTATTCGTTCCAAGTTAGGTGGCTTACCTTTGTACAGACAGCGCGCACATGTCACTTAGTCTAAGGTTCGACCTTATAACTACTTAGGTGTACTTAGGTCTAAACTCACGCATCCTGCGTCGTCCAACCATGTCTTGAAAAGCTCGAAAATCTGAAACAGAAAAATATATAAACCTGAAATGAAACGGATTAGTAAAAACAAACATAATAAAAGCGAAACAAATATGAACCACAAGGATAAACGAAATGGATGGAACAACCCAGCGATGAGAAATGAACGACCCAACGATGAGACATTCGAATATTATACGAAATATTCAAATTGTTAAATGAAAATAAACAGAAACGAAAAATTGAAATCTGAAAAAAGAAAAAATAATTAATATCTGAAAAGAAACAAAAATTATTAACAATCCAACGATGAGACATAAACAACCCAAAAATAAAATATAAACAACCCAACGATGAGACATAAACAACCTAACGATGTGACATTCGAATGTTATACGAAACATTCGAATTCTCAAATAAGAAGAAATAGAAACAAAAAAGAAAAATCTGGAAAAAGAAAAAATAATTAAAACCTGAAAAAAAATATAATTAAATCCTGAAAGAAAAAAATAATTATTGCCTGAAAGTAAAAAAAAAATGATTAGTAAATTGTTTAAGGGGGTGAGGTGTGGGTGGGGTAGCCAACCCCAACCTCACTTCGGCCTCACCCCCGTTCCCGCACACGAAATTTTAATGTTACACTCCCGATGCCAAACTGGCAAATGACTTGAGCAGTCGAGCGTCGCCCCTTATATAGCCCCCGATCGGCCGAGCCCCCCACCCCGATCGGAAATTTTCGAACTTCACCGATTACATTAATTATTATTTTTCGGCTCTAATAGCCAATAATTTATTAATTTTTTCACTTTTATTATAAATATACGTTGTGAACAATTTGTTATTAACAATATTAATTTGTTATTAACAATAGGTGTAATAATGTATAAACTTTTTGCAAATTATAAGTACATTTTAACACAGGAAGGTTACAAATTCAAATAATAATCAGTAATTTATTAATTTTTTCATTTTTATTATAAATTTATGCTGCGAACAACTTATTAACAATATTAATTTTTTATTAACAATAATTGTAATTATTTATAAATTGTTTTTCCAAGGATAAGTACTTTTTAACATAACTATGTCATAAGTTCCAATAATAGCCAATAATTTGTTAATAACTTTTGTATTCTTCGTTTAAATAAGATAGTGATGGAAACTGAAAGTCTTCTTTCATTTTATTTTCTTTTGTAATCAGGGTAGAATAATGCAACGATACCAGTTAAAATATAATTAACCAGACAAAGAAAATTTCCTGTGTAAATCGTACGAAAACATATCTACGAAATTTAACGGAGAATACAAAATTTCATCTTTGCATACAATCTTTTATTAAACTAGAATATCTTCACTCAACGCGTTCATTCTTCTTCAACGCTGTCTGGATTTTCATATGCTGCGCGCTGCAGATGAACTTTACATACTAAATCCCTAGTGCGAAATTTATCTAGTTATTACGAAATCAAAATTTCAACGTTTCATATCTTCCAAGTTTCAAGGCATCGAAGCTTCAAATCTCAACGTTTCTAAATTAAAAAATTACAAAGCCTCGAAACCTTAACATCTTAATCCCTTCGTCTACAATATCGCGTGAGACTCGTGGTAAGAAAATCGGGCCAAACATAAATATGACGGGTGAGAGGCGTGGCTTGTAGATAGGGCCCAACGGAAGGAAACACGAGTCGGGCAAGCTCATGGTTCATTTTCATTAATGACTTTTTTTCTTAATTACGTGTAATTCTTCGTCGCATTTACACGAAATGCCTCAACGTGTGATCCACGTTGTTATTGACTATGGCACCCACCATCTCAAGGGTAGAGCAAGGGGTTAATATCTTAAAATCGCAAAAATTCACGATTTTTGCTTTACTTGTCTCAGAATCGCTATCACACGCTTGATAATATGAAAAGACACCTCGTATCCTAAGACAGCTGCGAATACACAAAATTCCAAAATTCCGTGAAATCTCTGGCATATCTAAATGGAATATTCCTTCATTTTCAGGCTGTGCTCCCTGACCCTGACCCGGCTGGTGATCCTGCGTCCATTAGGCTCCGATCTAACCTCGATCAGCATCGCGGTGAAGATGCAGAGCTCAAAGAGGACTCTGCGTTCGAACGAGATGGCCATCCCGACCGGTGGCATGCTGGACACCGAGCTCGAGCTCCAGTTCGCCCTTCAGTATCCCCATTTCCTGAAAAGGGACGGCAACAAGCTGCTGATACAGCTGCAGAGGAGGAAACGCTATAAAAATCGTACGATGCTCGGATACAAGACCCTAGCAGAGGGAGTTATCAACATGGCTCAGGTGAGTGGATCGATTCTGCAGTACACTCGACCGTGCAGGGGTGGTTTCACCCTCTGACAAACGAGGGTTAAAGGCACCGAGGAGGCGAACGATTGTAGCGCCGTTAACGTTGGTTAACGTTCAATTTAGTCGTTGGTCCCGACGCTTAGTTTAGTCGTTAGCCTCGATGGTGAGTTGTGTCCGATTCTGGCTACTCGAAAGGGGTGAATGAGGTGGTAACTGAGAGAGGAAAGGAGAGGATTGTGAAAGTGGTGGGTCTTGAGTCTTGAGTTTGATAGTCGGTTGGTAATTTTTAATCGTGGTTTTTCGTGAAGGTTTGTTAAGAGGCTGATTACAGTTTTTCTTTCTCCTGCTTACCAATTTTTTTTATTTTTATTGAGCTTATTGTAATTAGTATAGAGAAGGGTAAGTTTGGTGATGTACTCTAATCTTGTTTCTGGAATGAGAATTTTATATCATATTTGTAATTTAAATTTATTTATATATTTACATATTTGCTTACTTACTTTTTTTGTTATAATTTAGGGATATTGTAGGACTATTGTAGGACTGAGAAAGTGATGTATATGTTCAGTCTTGAGTTTTGAGTTTGGTATATGGTTGGTAATTTTTAATCGTCGTTCTTGATGGAGGCTTGTCAGGAAACTGATGAAAGTTTTGCTTTTTCCTGCTTACCAATTTTTTTTTATTTTTATTGAGCTTATTTTAATTAGTATAGAGAAAGGGTAAGTTTGGTAATGTACTCTAATCTTGTTTCTATAGAATGAGAATTTTATATCATATTTGTAATTTAAATTTATTTATATATTTGGCTATTTATTTTTTCTTTATAATTTAGTGAAATTATAGTATTAAATAAATTTAGTTTTTAATTGTTAATTATTGAGGTTGTTAGAAATTATTATTACACAATTTTTCAGAATTCCAAATTTTCGCATATGTGCCAACGTAATGTCATTTACCTCTTATGAAGAAGAGTTACAATTGATTTATTCCTGAGGGAGTGCTATTTAATTTGAGGCTTAGCTATGCACAGCAATATCACGCTATGATTACACGGGCATTCGAATCTCTGGAGATTAGATTGCAAATAGAGTGCGTTAGGTTGAATCAGGACATCTTGTTGCATACTGCAATCATTGGTATGCGAATGGACGTTTTGAGTGAAAGGGAAATTGCGACTAATTGAATGTTCTTGTCCGATATTTTAAAGTAAAAGATCGTAGAAAGCATCAAGTACTTCGTTTTCCATTAATCAAATACATTTATCGATATTATGACCCAAATCGTTGTCGATAATTATAGTTAGTTTTTAGTATCACTTATATAAGTAATCTTAAATATTTTCATATTTAGTTATACATTTCTTATATACTTTTACATACTATTTCTTAGACATACTTTTTCGTTAGACAAATCTATTTTCATTTAAACCCCTTGCGATTATTTTAGATTAATTAACCCTTCGCACTCGAGAGGTGAGCTTCAGTCACCATTTCATAAAATTTGGAAGATAGATATTAATTGATATATCAAATTTAATGTGATGTAACAGTGTGCGAAGTATCAGAGTCAAATAATTCTACAATTCTATTATTATATAATTCTTTATTTACTGCTCAAAAAAGTATCGTAATGCGAAGTATCAGAGTCAAATAATTCTACAATTCTATTATTATACAATTCTTTATTTACTGCTCAAAAAAGTATCGTCAGTTTTTTAGTAGAGAATCTTTGAATTTCTACTCTTCTCTATCCAAAAAATCGTCGAGTGCAAAAGGTTAATACTTTCTGAATTACTTTTGTATTATATTTATTCATATTATTCATATTATTGTACTTCCAAGTCTGTCATCTTTCAAAAACCCAAAAATGGTGAGAGATGACAGATAATCACTGCCAAAAGATTATATACCTTATCGCAAGAAATAAAAAAATAATATTGCCCTCGGTATCTCTTTCTTCTTATATTTTAACCACCAAAACTTGTACAAATCACTTCGAAGTAACATTTGATCCATCTCTTCTCCAAATCCATCTATCCAGCATGAAATCAAATCGAACCGTAACCTAAACTCTGCCAAACTCAGCAACTCGCGCAACTCACTACACGCTCCTCTCATCCACTTCATATATTATCCAAACCCAATCTCGGAGTACCTTACCATTCATTCGATCTTCATCTCCACGGTATCGCGAAACTCTCCTCACCCAATCACGTCTGCCATCGCGGATCAGTTCGTTGACCTCAACCAAACTCAGCCGGCACAGCGCCGGCTGTAAAAAGAGCACTCGTTTCTCATCGAACCCTTGCACCTGCGCTCGTCCACAGGTTCTCCAGAAGCAGATGGACCTGGAGCTGGAGCTGGTGTCGGACAAGGCTGAGAAATACGGCGGTCACTCTGTGGCGCTGGCTCGCGTGAGCGTGGTTGCACTGAGCTCCCAGCCGGTCGACCAGGACAAAAGACTGATGAACGACCCGAACGAGAGGCTCTGCCCCGAGTACAGCGACGAGGAGGAGGAGTTCAGCTCCGAGGGCGAAGCAGAGGGCAGTGACAGCGAGCCGACTCTGGAGATGCACAGGCGGAAGAGCCGGGCGAAGATTCCAGCCAACGCCAGGGTACGTGAAACAATTTATTTATCTATTTGTTTGTTTATTTAACACGTTTACTATCACGTCGGTCACCTGTGACCTGAGATCGTTGCTTCAATGAGACCACGGTGGTCATTAGAGACCACCGGGTATCTCAATTTTCTAAAATCGTCCATATAAAATGAACCTCGTAGATTAATTAGCTTTTAATGTCATAGCTAATTAGACAAGTGTACAAAATAAAGGTTCCCTATTCAATAATCAAGGATTTGAATTTAAACAATGTGCAAGTTCTCATGACTCTCTAATCGATGTCACTAAGTTTGTCAAAACTACCCTCGGTTTCTTTCTCTACTGTGTAACGTGAAAAAATTGTACAAAAATTTTGTAGAAACTTCTGTGTAGGTGTGAGATAGTAGAAGCTTCGAGCTTTAAAATGAACTCACGTTGACCGTCGTGTGATATTTTTTTACGACGTTACAGCGCGTCAAAGATAGACAATTTGTCAATTGCAAGGATCTTGCTGCACTTCTTATCTACAGTACTAACAGTACTAACACTAACTACATTTTTATCTAAATAACAGAAACAAGCTAGAAACGATAGATACAGCTCAACTATCTTCCGACTCGAAATACTTCGGAGGTTCATTAGACTGATTAGTCTAAAATTCCATTGTCTCTTTGAAAACGAGCAGAACCTATTTTCCTCAGCTTTATTACTCAAATACACTTTCCACGTGCTCTCGAGGGAACAAAAGCGCCCGAAAACGCGAGTTTAATTAACACCTGGAAAGAATCGCGCGAATCAGCTGTGCGCTACTAACACCAATTTGAATTTTCAATAATCGATAAAATCGTATTCTTGCAGCAGAGGAACTTAAAGCAGAAGTTCATAGCCCTGCTGAAGAGGCGGTTCAGGGTGTCGGAGGATCTGGATCAGGATCAAGAGGAGATCGGTCAGAAGCTATCAGGTAAGCCATATCTAACCCGACCCCCGATGCGAGTCTTAGAAGTACAGTACCAACGTTTCACAAAAGCCTTGTTAATTATTTTATAGAGTCGTTAACTGGATTTGTTAAAGGCGCAGAGATGGAAATCGACGAACTGTTCGACGAACTGGAAAATCTGTCCGACAGCGGTCCAGAACTGGACACGATGTCTGTGAGCAGCACCCCGAAGCCGTCGCTGCGACCTTTCTTCAGCTCTAGTCGATCCCTTCTCGCGCCACCTCATTCCGGTAAGTGAAACTGCTTCCGTTCGTGTAACCATTGTTGAGTATCGTAGATCTTGTAACAAACGTGAATCTCGATTGGCAAACACGAGTATCCGCAGTGCTCCGTGCGGTAACGATGGATCCGTGGAAAAGAGACGAAGTTAGACGTATGACGGTCTAGAAATCGGTCCGATTATTGCTTCTGTCGAAATAGTTGCACACGGTAAGGAACGCCTGGTATATCGTGCTATCGGATGAATATCGTGTCTCCTTATCTGCTTCTGCTAGAAAGTAAAAGAAGTATATACATTTGCAGTCGGATTGAACACTTTCTACAAACTGGTATTATGAAGAAATTACTTTTTGGATTTATGGTCGCCTCTTGGTATTTAATTCCTTGCCTACCAGTCTGTTTCCAGGCTTCTCTATGTCCTGTGACTGTAGCTGAAGTTTGGGGTTTTGAAATTGGGAGATTTTTTGGAAGCAAAGTTTGGAATTATGTGTCACTGTAGGCCAGGCATGAGTGACGTTTGCTTTCTACTGCCAGAATTGAAAATTTAAGCTCTTGAATGGGAATGACGTGATCACCCTCATCAGGTCTTTGTGCCAAACTCTGGTCTCACGTTCTACGTTCGTCTTAATAATCATGCTATCGAAAGTAAAATAATGTTTGTATCTTTATGAACACATTACAGTAGGATATTTCGGACTATTGTCCAGCTCTATAGTAGAATTAAATGATACTCCTTATGATTTCCAGGGTTTATTGAGAAACTTCAATGCAGTGTGTGTTAAATTGAGCATCTAAAAGATTCGCTATTGTAATAATAATAATGAATATATGCTTCACAGTTAGTATAATAGCAATAATAGCAATATAAATATGAATAGGATGAATAGATAATTTAATTTAATGGGATAAAAATAATTTTCTACGAATGGTGTATCTAGTCAGTAGCACAAGGCAAGGAATTAATGCAAATAATCGTGAACTAAATTTGCAAAGTGATGAAAAATTTGTTAACATTTGTAGAAAGTGTGTTTGCGTTAAAGTAGCATCTTTTTTCACTTATAATTCGGCTATACTTGACGTTGCAGCATTATACAGCCGTTTGCCATTTTTAGTATACATATCGTGCATTTTATGTTGAGTCTCTCTCTTTTTCCTTTCTCGACAAAAGAATCGCGCTATTGTAGGCCATATCTTGAAGAAAATCGTCAGAGCAGCAAAATTTTTCATCGTCTGTCGATTGGTTCTCCAAACAATAACGCAAGATTGAAACGGTTTAATTGCAGTTCCCTGTTGTCTCGAGTTCCTTTGTTACGAGCAATGTTTGTTCTCATGCGTCCTGGTTTCTGCTACATTTCTCATCCATTTTTCCAAGTTTAACGATTTATCCGAAGATACCGTGAAATCCCGCATCCTTGAACGACTTTTATAATAACGTTATTCCGATACAGTCTATTACTCTTTTGGAGGCCTTTTTATTCAGACGAATAGTGGAAGGCTAGTTCTTGTCTTTTAAAAATTTTTTCATTCGACAAAAATTAATTCTTTTTTATTTGAAAAATAAATAATTTAAATTTAGATTCGTGGTACTAAAATTTTCGATAATCTTTTTATCTTTTTTCTGTTAGTTAATTTCGTCGATCTTTTCGATTAAGATTCGAATATTGCAAAATTTGGAAGGTCAAGATCGTTGTAGTTTTCGAATATGAATTTTTTTCTGAGAAATTGTCCAAGTGGTGGAAAAGGAAAATATGCAGATAAATCCGATGAATATAATAGGATTTCACACTTGAATTCATTCAGTTTTTACGAGATTAAATGGGAAGTAGCCAAGTATTGTTCGGAGAATATAGAGTTTTTTGTTGGCAATCCAATTTAGATTGTTTTTTTGCGTAATAGACTATAAATTGATCTGTGAATATAAAGGAAGATATTCGATGAATCGAGTCTTCGATACGTTATTTATTATTAAAGCGTAGATAAAACTCGGTACAACAAGAACTGCATAATAAATTTCAAATGAACCTTGCTTATAACGTTTCCGATTTATAAACAAATTCAGGTGGAAATAGGAATAATTCTTCCAATATCAAATTCATCATTCCTCACACTTATTCAATCCACAGCGAGCTGCTATAAATGTTACACGATTTGTGCTTCGTATCTGTTTTAACAATTGCAAATATGAAAAGGAAAATACGAAATTCAAATTTTTATTCTTGTCATATCATGCTACATTGCATTGTGAAATAATCACTGTAATAATTATCTTGGAGTTTAACAGCTGTTCCATTAACATCTTACAAATTTCTTAAAATTATAAATTAATTGCTTTAACCCTTTACACTCGAAAAATAGTAATTCGAAGACTTTCTGCCATAAGGTTGACGATATTTTTAAATAAGAAATCGTATGCAATTTAATAGACAGTAGAATTATTTTACTTCGATATTCCACGCATCTTTGGGTAATTGTAAATTTCATATATCAATTAACATCCATTTTTAGATTAAATTAAAAAATCTTTAGATTAAATGGCGACTGAGAGGCGCCTGTCGAGTGCAAAGGGTTAAATTAAAAATAATCCACACGTGACGCAAAATTTATCGTCGAAAATTCCTCCACGCCAACCCTCCCTGTGAATATTCGAATCTTAATCGGAAATTTTATTTATTATTCGAAATTTTTATTATTCGAGATTTCTTATTCTTCGAAATTTTTATTATTCGAGAGTTCTTCATCGATTCTTTCCACGATTTAAATTGAAACGAAACCCATATCCAGTGTCCCATAGATTCCACTGATTCTCTGTTATTCTTCTTCGTGTAAATACGTTAGTATAACGTGGAACGAGCTCACCTTTGTTGCACGTTGCGTACGGCACTGAGGACGAAGACGAGTATAAGCCGAGTTAGGTAAAGATAAGGACATAAGCGTTTCGTTGCCGATACGAGTTCAGAATTGTTTAACTAAGTGAAAGTCTGGTGCGTTGGCTTTGCATTGTTGCATGTTACGATTCGGTAGTAGTAACCAACGAGGAGACCGGAAGCACTCCTGCGACAGCCATAGGTCAGCAGAGCACAGGTCAGCCAGCTAAAGAGAAACACCGTATCGGACACACCACTCCAGGTATGTAAAGGCACACCGGATCGTCACGATTAAAAAACGGATAATTTAGCTGTGGATTATTTTTTATTATTTTTAACGACCTCTGCTTCCTCGCCAAGCAAGCATGGCTGCGTGAATTTGAATAGCATGATACCTCCTTTTATTTTTATTTTTTTTTTTTTTTTTTTTTTCTTCACCTCTTCAGTTTTCGATTATCGAGAAACAAAATATCGATAACTCTCAGTAGCGCCGCGTTCGTGACTGTCGCTGATTGTTTTCGAAGGTGACGTGTGCTCTGCTTAATTTCACTTAGAATTTCACTTGTAACTTAAGTTTTACCGTGCTATATAAAGCACTGACTGTCAAAAATCATGTTAAAATACGGCGGTGTATTTCTTGTGTTATTGTGTGTTCTTGAATGTGGTACAGGACTTTATTTTCACATCGCTGAAACCGAACGAAAATGTTTCATCGATGAAATCCCAGATGAAACAACTGTTTTAGGTTCGTGAAATATATATGACAGTAGAAGTTGATTATACATTTGTACTATAAATTTCACGTATTGTTTTCATGTTTAGTAAATTACAAAGTCGAATTATATGATCCAAGAACCGGTGGATTCGCCCAGACCAGGCCTGGAATGGGTATGCACGTGGAAGTTCGGGATCCAGATGATAAAATGATTCTTTCCAGAGTGTATAGTTCAGAAGGAAGATTTTCTTTTACTTCCCACACTCCCGGTGAACATGTAATTTGTTTGTATTCTAACAGTAGTTCTTGGTTCAGTGGTACCCAATTGGTAAGAATTCTTATGATGCCAAACAATGTTTTTTTGTAGTGTTTAATATTAACTAACTTCTTTTTATTATGCAGAGAGTACATTTGGACATTCATGTTTCTGATCATAGTATTGATTATTCAAATACAGCACACAAGGAAAAGTTTACTCAGTTACAGTTGAGGCTACGCCAACTTCTTGATCAAGTGGAACAAATAACAAAGGAACAAAATTACCAGAGGGTAATTAACTTGTGTACCTCTTGACTGTTTTACAAAAGATTTAGATTTTAATTTTATGTTGTTTGTTCACAGTATCGTGAAGAACGTTTCAGGCAAACATCTGAAAGTACAAATCGCCGTGTGTTTTGGTGGTCACTCGCTCAGTCTGTAATTTTATTGTTCATGGGTGCATGGCAAATGAGACATTTGAAGAGTTTCTTTGAAGCAAAGAAACTAGTTTAAGAGCAAAATTAATAATTCCATTAATATTAGTCATTTTAAAACGATTAATTGCCTTTGTCATTATAAGAAATTCTCATTATAATTCATTTAATAAAAAAGCAGAATCTTTCGGAAACGAGTATCACGGATGATTTGTTGTTATTGTTATTGATGCTGATTTCTTTTTTTTCATTTTTTGTATCGTGATAGCTTTTAGAATGGTTTAGGTGCTTGGAAGGTGGAATATGATATATCTGGGTACTTTATATTTCTTGGACAATTACAGAATTGGTAGAATTAATTAATAAATAAATAATTAATTATTTCTTGGAATAATTTTTTACAAGTATAGGGGTAATAGAATTAATAATAAATTAATAAATTATCAGATTAATTTATATACTTAATAATTTGCAGAATTTACATTTAATATATTTTATATATTTTTAGTTAATTATAGGATCAATGGAATTGATCATTCAAATTGTCACATGAAATATGTTTTAGGCACACTATTTTCTTATACACATTTCCTATTTTTTTTCTCTTTTTATAATAATATTTAGTAACTTTTAGAAACAGGTTGGCAATTTTCCAGTGACACATTTTTCTTTTATCTCATTCGAATCACTCTAAGAAGATTCATTAAAAATCCACGTACCTTCTCAAATAAAACGTACCTATACGAAATATCATATTCCTTTGACAAATTAATTATCAAAAATTTCGAAGATTATTATTCCAAGCACCCTACTAGCCGAGGAAAATTCGAAAATTCACTCCCCCGTTGATGTGACGATTTTTAAATACACGGAAACCGTGAAGAGCAGAGAAAATGTACCACTTAACGATCAATCACTCGTGTAGTTAGCTAGCTAGCGTATCCAAGCAAGAGACTGAGAATACATATCGCGGTGTACGCAATTTTGTAGATTGGAGAAGGAACTCAAGCGCATGAATGACCTCTTGCTAATCGGCAGAAGCTTGGTGTTTCGTGATGAAAGATATGAATCGGTAATTAGATGGCTCGTAGATTCGCAATATAGAGCGTTCCTAGCAATGATCGTTCGATTTGATTCGATGTCCAATGTGTTTCTCGTTGTAAGTATGACCAAATCTAGAGTCACCCTCGATGACCTCTCAACTTGACCCTGGACTAGAGCTGTGGACGCAGGGATAATAAAAGCTGGAAAAACAATTCTTCTTTAACACTAGGTTTACGGACGTTATTTATATACCTATTTCTAAGGACACCTGTCAAATTGACAGGCAAAGGAAATCACGTGTCTTTTTTTTTAACAATCAGTTTAATTTAAAAACAATTATATATTATATTAACAGTCTCTGATATAAAGTCAAATTGACGGGTTCCGTAAATGTGGTGTAAAATAGAAATAAATTTCGGAATTAATTTTGGAACGAAAGACGAATTTCGTTGAATTGTCAATAGAAACAAAATAATCCTAAAAATTTCTACTTTCGTCATCCCTGCGTCGCATGGACGAAGCAAACAGAACAAAGACACTCTGCAAGACGTATCTCGGTAGATGTTAAAGCACAGATGTAAGAACGACGATGACACATTTGTAAGAGAATGCGATGGAAATAAACGTTTACCTGGCATCCGATTTCTTTTGTAGTGATTTTTGTTTTGCTTCTCTGCGACACGCCGAAAACGGGCTTTCGATATCAGTGGTGAAAAATGAAAAGAAAGGTCACGGCTCGATCGTTAACGATCGTTCCCTCGCGAGATTAATACCGTGTGTCTGTGTGCCTCTATTTTTACGGCTTTTTGTACCTAGCGAGTGTAACGCGAGAAAAGAGAGAAAAAAGAAACAGAAAACGAAAAACGAAAACGAAAGAAAGAAAAAAGCAAAGCAAATCGTAACACCAAAAATCTCCTGTCCGCTGGCCTCTTCTCTTTCTGCCTCTATCTATCTACTCGCATACGTACGTATCTCTCTTTTTATACTACCATTTTCTTTATGTCTGTCTCTGTTACTAACTCTTTATTTCTTTCTCTGGTCGCTGTGCCGATTAACGCGCCACGTACCCACTGTTCCACTGATTGTGAGAGTTTTCTCAAGGCTTGCGATGTTTGCTAGCGAAATAGAAAATGACACGAGAGATGATTTATTCGAGTGAAAGAGGATAAATGAATAGAGAAAAGAAAAGAAAAAATATTAAAAGACATACTCGACTGTCTCGATTAGAAAATGCCTGTGTTGCCCGTTGCATTTTGCGCGTGGTTCGTGTGGTGTATCCTTTGATGTTGATACGTTTTAGTAAGTTCTCTCACATACTCTCTTTCTCTATACATATATATGTAATCTATCCAATCAAGCCATTGCGTCGATCAATTAAACGCGTAGAGTACCTTAGCGTAACCGTTCACTTGAACGCGTTAGAGACTCGTTTCTCTCTCTATCTCTCTGTCTCTCTATCTCTCTTTCTTCCTTGTGTCTTTACTGCTCTGCGAGTTAATCGATCACACGATTGCTGCGTACGTTATCGATCGTAAAGTTCAGACCGTAATTGACGGATCGAGAGCAAATTGATTTGTTTAAATTTAGTTACTCTCGGGTAAGAGTGATCTGTCTCTTTCTTTATTTATTTATTCATTCGACTTTTCTTTGTCCTTTGATTTGCAGGATGGGTAGGAAAATAGATAGATTGTTTTATTTATGCACTTGTGATATAGAATTGTGGCTTGTTTATGATGGAAACGATAAAGTAAATGATTTTTCAATTGATAATACTGTTATCAATTGATAGTGTTATATATAGTATTATTTATGATAGTTATGTTATATATATCTTGTAGCTATGCTGAAGGTGAAACTCTTCGTTTTCCTATATTGAGTTATACTATATCGAGTATTAAATATTTCATTAAATAATTTTTAAACTCCCTCTGTATGTTTTTCTGAAGTTTCTAATTCTCAGAATTTTGTAAATGAAATAGGAAAATTCGAAGTAATTCTTTTCTATAGTTAATATTTAAGAATTCCAATATAGTGTTTCACGAAGGATAATCTTCTTTCATAATGATATACATATCTTGTAGCTATGCTGAAGATGAAACTCTTCGTTTTCCTGTATTGAGTTATACTATATCGAGTATTAAATATTTTGTTAAATAATTTTTTAACTCCCTCCGAATATTTTTCTAAAGTTTCTAATTCTCAAAATTTTGTAAATAAAATAGGAGAATTCGAAATAATTTTCTTCTATAGTTAATATTTAAAAATTCCAATATAGTATTTCACGAAGGATAATCTTCTTTTATAATGATATATTATGTTATATATATATTTAGTAGCTATGTTAAGAATGAAACTTCTTGTTTTCCTATATTAAATTATATTATACTAAGTATTAAATATTTTGTTAAATAATTTTTTAACTCCCTCTGAATATTTTTCTGAAGCTTCTAATTTTCAAAATTTTGTAACTAAAATAGGAGAATTCAAAGTAATTCTCTTCTATAGTTAATATTTAAGAATTCCAATATAGTGTTTCACGAAGAATGAGCTTCTTTCATAATGATATATTAATATCGTTATCATTATAGCGTAATTTGTGTGAAATGAAAGGAAATGTAATTCATAAATTGCCACATTGTTAGACGTGGGCAGCCAGCATTGTGCTCAACACACGCAACTTTTATTCCAAAGAAGAAACGCACTCTGTTAAATGATCCGCAGAATATAGCTCTCTAAATGAAATAAGTTTAATCCTTTCGTTCACTGTCCTATTGAATAGATTTAACGATAAAGAACAGCAACGTCGAGATAATTGCATTTTCCAATTTTCTTTAGTAACGCTACTCTCATTCCCAAGAGTTTCTACAGCGTATTTCATTACTTGGTTTACTTTATCTTCATTGAAATAACAAACTCGAGTTTCATTCTAATTTATTTCACTCCTGTGGAGCAATTATTCTAAGTAATCGGAAGTCTTCCTGTTCGTTTCCATTACGCTTGTCTCATTCGTCATCATAATCGAAAAATTCAATTTTCATCGTTCAATTAATCATTCGGTAGTTGATTACAAATTATGCGCTTTTCGTAATCATTTGACAAATAATTATCATTAAATGTTCATCAATTATCGGTAAATATTTTAGCAATATTATATTTGAAATTAATAGAAATTTGGAAATTAATTAATTAATTGTTTATAAAAGACAGTAGGTAATTTCGGTTTTACATATGTGGAAAATTATACGAAATTGTTTCGTTCTTTTATAGTATAGGTCATTTCTTGTTTGATATCGATAGAAGTAATTAACGCCTCGTGTGTTTGTGTTACAAATTCAGTTTAATGCTTCATTGTTTGAACGGATATTATAATTCGCCGTTTAATATGTAAATAGGTATCGTTTCGCGAATATGCGATAATTTTGCAGGATAATTTATCAAATCGGAAATTCGATGATAAATGATTCCTCGGAATTGAAATAAAAGTTGCACGTGTTAATACCGAAATCTAGTGCAGATACAATTTAATCGCATTAGGATTTAATTTATTTGGAAGCAAGTGCTTAATAATTAATAATAGGTAATATTATAATGCAGAAATTATCTAATAACAGGAAACCCAATTAACAACACTATTCCAGCTAGTTCTCGAGTTCAATCGATTAAACCAAACACCACCAAAATTACCTTTATTACAACTATCCTGGAATCAAAATATTAATATAAAAATAAAAATAGGTAGAAAATAAATACTAATAATATAGAAAATTCTTCAAATAATCCTAATTTCCAATGCAAAAAAAAATTGTTTAATTCTCATTAATTAGGTTTAAAATCCCTACTGGAACAGTAGATGGTACGATATTTTAGAATCTCAAAAATTTCCTCAAATAGCTACAAATGAAGATCAATTGAAAAACTTATATTAATTTACCATATCTTAATTTTCTCAATAACTACAACTCCACAAAAATAGTGAATCCTTTTTCGCTACACCCTATACACGAATCAGTTTCGTACTAAATCTGCTTTCCCATAAAAATTCGAATTTTTTTCTAATAAAAATTCGACACTCGCTTTCTGATACCTCCACTCCATAGAAAGGTAGAGAAATGGGAAAAAATGATGAAAAATTGTAAAAAAGTATGGTCTGGACTTACGATCGGTAACTAGCACGATTCCTAGGATGTGTGATGCGCCGCGACGTGGAGTAATGAAATTTCGTTGCAGAGCGCGGCGTGGATAGGCAAAGCGATGACAGTTCCCGAAGAGCTGACAGCGACTCGCACCCGGAGAACTGGACAGACCACGAGGCGAACGATCCGCCGAATTACGTGACGGGTTCGCCGCCGAAGTCGGAACAGCACAACAAGACCGAGAGCACCGACAAACGGAGCAGGCTTTTTACCCGCGACAGAGGAGTACCGGGTACCAACAAGTCTAAAAAGCACAGCCTCAGCGTGGACCTGAAGCCGCCAGCAGACTTGAATAGTTCCGAGGTAGATGAGAAACGATCGTTACTGCATTCTCTGTTCACTGGTGGTGACATGCTTGCTGGTCTGGTCTGAAATGCGATAGTTAACAGTAGACTGCCGGTGACTAAGAGAAATCTAGGGTTAAGGGAATTTTATAGTTAGGTGGAGTTAGATGGAGAATTTTATAGTTAGACGATCTCTTTACGAATATGTTTTAATGTCTTTATTATCTTTTTAGAATCATGTAGAAATTGAGTAAAAGAATAGGGAGGTTATGAAATAATTTATTCACATGATGGATATTAACTTGGAAGTATTAAATAAATGAGATTAGGTCCTGAAACGAATAGGCTCTAGGGATTTTTATGAACTTTGCATTTAGGTTACTTATAATTTGCAGAATTTGTGGCTGATTAAAGTAGATTTCTAATAATGAATTTTAAGCAGAGTATCAAATAAATAAAGTTAGCCCGTGAAACAAATAAGCCCTAGGGATTTTTATGAATTATGCATTCAGGTTACTTATAATTTGGAACATTTATGGCTGATTAAATTAGATTTTTAATAATGATTTTTAATAATATTAAGCGAAGTATCAAACAAATAAAGTTAGGTCGTGAAACGAATAGGCTCTAGGGATTTTTATGAATTATGCATTCAGGTTACTTATAATTTGGAGGATTTGAGACTGATTAAAGTAGATTTCTAATAATGGATATTAAGTGAAGTATCAAATAAATAAAGTTAGATCGTGAAACGAATAGGCTGTAGGGATTTTTATGAATTATGCATTCAGGTTACTTATAATTTAGAGGATTTGAGACTGATTAAAGTAGATTTTTAATAATGAATATCAAGCGAAGTATTAAATGAACGAGATTAGGTTACGAAACCAATAGACCCTAGGGACTTTCAGAAACTATACACGTCCAGCTTATTTATAATTTCGGAGATTTTTGTTAATTAAAATTCATTTTGAAGCTGGTTTTAAATCTACATTAATTCACAATTTTCCTTGTTTTATTTTTACTGAATTCTCTGTCTCGCTTAACTAAAAATTTGTGTCTTCTTTCGTTATCATTGTTCATATAAATATTCTTTTTCTCAGAGAGTGTGGAAAAATTACAAAAATGAAATCCACCTATAAGGAAATGAATTTCTTTAATGATAATCTGAAAACGATTTTATTTCTTTATTATTGCTCACAGGAAATTGGTTATTATCTATATCCAATTACAAAAGATATAACTCTTATTTATGGACCAGTCATTCAACCGACTCGATAAAAATGGCTGCATAAATTATCGGTAGACTCAGTGTTAATCCGGATTATCAGGAAAACGATTAATTCGTTGAAGCTTTGTATTTTCGCGAGATAACGATAATGAATCGAAGTTTACATTAAAAGGATCGAGTCGGTAAAATTTTCAATTCCGCGACTGAAACGTGTAAAATGAAACAAGTCGCGTGTTTCAAGCATTATTAAACACAATCCTTATCTCGAAAGTATAAGTAATTACGTATGGTGCGATGTTAACGTGTCAGGCAATGGACGTCACTGGTGAACAAAATATAGCACGAAAGTTCTGTGACGATCGTCATTGTCCATTAAGACAATGATGGATGCGTCAGGACTTTTCAATAATCCTAACAGATGACAGTGGATTAAGTCCCAACACCATCTGTCTATCTTCTCTGCAGCTGAGTCGAGACCCCACTTGTTTCCCTTATCTAGATGCATAGAATACTTAAAATTAATTCAATCACTGTACCTATATTATATTTCAAATAGAATTTACTCTATATTTCAAATTTTTAACTCCTTAAGGAGGTAATATTAATTTAATTAATAATAAACGTCAAATATGATTAATCTCTTCGGTATAACGGGCTTGTCCTGCCAATACTATTTTTAGCTAAAACGAGTATAGGCTGAAATACTTCCGTGTAATAATTAATTAATTAATTAATAAGGTATTATGGATGTACATACCTACTTAGTACATTTCCAGGATACAAGATGAATATTAATTAAATTATGAAAGAATTACAAAAGCAAAGAAAATGAAAAGCACTCGGTTACCGATGATCAGACCAAAGAGATTAATATACTAAATTTTTATTAACTTTTGCATATGCAATTTGAAAGATAAACTATTTTTATATTTTTAATCTTCACATTCGGTTCGCCTAGCTCCACCCCCAAAAAGTGAAATGACTCGGTTCACATAAAACGTGAAAAGCACTCGATTACCGTTAATCAGACCAAAGAAATTAATATACCAAATTTTTATCAACTTTTTCAAATGCAATTTGAAAGGTAAACTATTTTTATATTTTTAACTTTCACACTCGGTTCGCCTAGTTCCACCCCCTATAAGTGAAATGACTCGGTTCACATAAAATGTGAAAAGCACTCGATTACCAATAATTAGACCAAAGAAATTAATATACCAAATTTTTATCGACTTTTTCAAATGCAATTTGAAAGGTAAACTATTTTTATATTTTTAACTTTCACACTCGGTTCGCCTAGTTCCACCCCCTATAAGTGAAATGACTCGGTTCATATAAAATGTGAAAAGCACTTGATTACCAATAATCAGACCAAAGAAATTAATATACCAAATTTTTATCAACTTTTTCAAATGCAATTTGAAAGGTAAACTATTTTTATATTTTTAACTTCCACACTCGGTTCGCCTAGTTCCACCCCCTATAAGTGAAATGACTCGGTTCAGATCAAATGAATAGCACTCGATTACTGATGATTAGACCAAAGAAATTAATATACCAAATTTTTATCGACTTTTTCAAATGCAATTTGAAAGGTAAACTATTTTTATATTTTTAACTTTCACACTCGGTTCGCCTAGTTCCACCCCCTATAAGTGAAATGACTCGGTTCATATAAA